CTGATGAGAAGAATATATATTGTGCAGAAGTTGTATGAAATATTCTATAGTCATCAGCTAGGTCTATGGTGTAATTTAGTTCTAGGATTTCTTTATTGATTTTTTGTTTGGATGACCTATGTATTGGTGATATGGGGAGTATTAAAGTCTCCCACTACCACTGTGTTGGAGTCTATGTATGCTTTTAGGTCCTTCAGCATATGTTTGATGAAACTGGGTGCTCTGACATTGGGTGCTTTTAGGTTGATAATTGTTATTTCTTTTTGGTGTATTTCCCATTTTATTAGTATGAAGTGTCTTCTTTGTCTCATTTGATCAATGTAAGTTTGAAGTCTACTTTGTCTGAGATATATATTGCTACTCCTGCCTGTTTTGGGGGGGGCATTGACTTAGTAAATATTCTTTCAACCTTTCAGCCTAAGCCAGTGCTTGTTTCTGTCAATGAGATGGGTCTCCTGTAAACAACAGGTAGTTGGATCTTCCTTTTTAATCCAGTTTGCCATATTATGTCTTTCGATGGGAGAGTTAAGTCCATTAACATTTAGTGTTAATATTGATAGGTATGTGGTGATTCCTCTCATTTAGTTGTTTCTGTTGTTTAAGGGTTTGATTGTGTGCAGCTGAATTAATGCTACTCTTTTATTCCTTGTCTTTTCTTCTCCTGTGGTTTGGTTTTGCCTGTCCTCTCATGACTTTTGTTTGCTTTCATTTTCCGAAATGAAAATTCCTTGAAAAATCTTTTGTAGTGATGGCTTATGGTCATATATTGTTTTAGTTTCTGTTTATTATGAATACTTTTATTGCTCCATCTGTTTTGAATGATAGTTTTGCTGGGTAGAATATCCTGGAGTGCCCGGAGTACCTCACTCCATGCCCTTCTTGCTTTTAAGGTTTCCATTGAGAAATCTGCTGTGATTTTGATGGGTTCACCTTTGTATGTTATTTGTTTTTTCTCTCTTACAGCCTTCAATATTCTTTCTCTATTCTCTGTGCTTGTTCTTGTAATTATTTTATGTCATGGGGAAGTTCTATTTTGGTCAAGTCTGCTTGGTGTCCTGGAGGCTTCCTGTACCTGCAAGGGCATAGCTTTTTCTAGGTTTGGGAAATTTTCTATTATTATTTTGTTGAATATATTATGAATCCCTTTTGCTTGTACCTCTTCTCCTTCTTTAATGCCCATGATTCTCAGGTTTGGGGTTTTGATGGATTCAGTGAGTTCTTGCATGTTCCTTTCTCAGGTCTTGAGTTGTTTGACTAATAGCTCTTCAGTTTTTCCTTTAATTTCCATTTTATCTTCAAGTTCTGAGATTCTGTCTTCCACTTGTTCTGGTCTGCTGAAGTGGCCTTCCATTGTGTTTTGTATTTCTGTTTCATTCTTTTCTCTGAGGTTTTCATATCATGGGTCACTTCTTCTTTAATATTGTCTATTTTCATCTTTAATTCATTTATCTCTCTATTTATAGTGTTCTCTGCTTCACTTTGGTGTTTATTTAGGGCTCCTATGAGTTCATTTATTTGTTTTGTGTCTTCTTTATTTTTGGTGTCTTAACATTTCTTGAGTGTCCTTTGTACATTTTGGTTAACCATTCTAGTAACATCTCCATGAAATTCTCAGCATTACTTGCAGGATTTCTTCTTTGAGGATGTTCTTGTGGGCATCATTGGGTTCCTTGGAGTCATTTATCTTTGTTTTGTTGGAGTCCTGAACTGGGTATCCGTTTTCTTCATTTCCCTCTGAATCCTGTATTAAATTATTTTTGGGAGATGAATGGTTACCATCCCTTTTTCATCTTCCCATTGCTCCTGTTGATACTGTGCAACTGTGTTCTTGACAGGCTAGTTGGTGGTTTTAGTCACCTGTTTTCTTTCCCTTGGTTTAATTTTGTTTTGTGGCTGTATTGGGTTTGTAGCTAAGTGTGTGTGTGTGTGTGTGTGTGTGTGTGTGTGTGTTATTTCTGTCCCTGGTCTGGGTGTAATTTAGTATTTGCTAGTTCACAATAGTAAACCTAACAACAACAACAACAACAACAACAAACCCAAAGAAATCAACATGGAGAGATGAACAAAAAAGCAAGAAACAGAACAAGCAAACAAACAGACAAACAAAACTTCCAGGCTCAGAAAAAGACTTTCAGTCTTATTTTAAGTTTTGGTGTTACTCCTCCAGCATTCAATTCTGGTGTTGGTATTTAAGCAGAAACTCTGTCATAGTCTTGCCAAGTGGTTGGGTAGTGTTTGTTTGTTTTTTTCTTCTGTCTTTTCAGAGGCAGTTACTTGGTCAGCTCCTCCTTCAGTGAGGTGTGGCAGTTTAAGTTTGCATGTTGTCCTCAGGTTCTGGAATCAGCTCTGTAGCCCACCAGCTGTCCTGCTTTGGAATTGGGTTTTCACCATGCTTGATAACTGGGGACTTGTTTCTTTGCCTCACCCCCCTTTCTCTTGGGCAAGATCACTGATCCATCAGCCTCCTCCCCCCTTTTCTCTGGGCAAGGTCAGTGATCTGTCAGCTGGCCCCCTACTGTCAGCATGTTGTGATGGTTCGCTGATTATTTTTCAACTTTGCAGTGTCATTTGACTTTGGATGTTGCTCACTGGCTCAGGAGATGAGCTTTGTGGACTGCTCTCTGCCCTATTTTAAGCAGAGAAAAGCCCTCCTGCCTTTCCAGCCTTTGATTACTGAAAGTTCGTGCAGAGATCAGCTCCTTGTCTCTCCCCGCCTTCTCTGGTGATCTTTCAGCAACTGCGTCCCTCTGCTATGTGTTAGTTTTCAGTTCCTTATTTCTTGTTCAGTTTTTTGTTTTTCTGTGGGGGAGGTATCTTAGGGGTGGCTAGGGGAAAGCTGCGTGATGCTTAGTGCTCACCTGTTGGTCTGCTGAATGTCTCCAAGGCAGGTTTGGAGCCAGCATCTGGTGGCACGGTAGCCCTCTTGTTTTCTCAGTGTAATGTGGAATGGAGAAGGTTTCTATGTGCTAGGGGTTCAGGGTTTGAAGTTTTGATTCTCCTTGCTGTTTTATTTCTGCCAAGTGTGGCTCCAGCATCTCAGCAAGGTTTTGGCGTTACAGAGCTTACACTGTATGCTTCTGTGCCCTAGTCTGCCAGCTTCAGTCTCTCTTAACTGTTAAATATTTTGCTAATTTGCTGCTTGCCCCAAGCAGGACTGTAATCTCAGACTAGCATTGTGGTATTTTCTGTTTATTTTTTTAAATTGAATGTGCTAATTTTATCACCAATTCTTCTGGGTGTGGGATTTTTGTCCTCAGAAGACCTCTGAAGCCCCCTTTAGCTGCAGGTTTTTAGGATTCATGGTACCATGATGGTGCATCCTTGAGAGGATCCCCTCAAAGGTGAGCTGGGGAGGCTGAGGGCCATAGGAGACTGAGATAACCTTAGACAAGGATGCCACAGACTCCCATTGCTCCTACCTGAGGTTCAACAGTTTTTCATGAATAAACTGCTCAATTTGTTATTTGGCCATTGATTTCTAGAGTCATGAAATTGGTATTTTTAACAGTTTTGTCTAATATTATAGTTGAGTTTTAGAATCAGGACTTATGGGTTTCTTCTGTCGAAGTCAGAAGAAGCTCCTTTCCTCACATTTTTTAGTTCTTTCTAAAGTATCAGAACTCACCTATCTTACCAAATACATTCTGGACTGGCAGTGTTAACTTAGGGCTCCCTTGGTCTACTTTGCCTAGTGATTTGGGTTAGGTCCACTAAAGAAGTCACAAGCTAAGAATGCTGGGTCTAGGTGATCATATACTGTACTGTGGTAGACAGACCCTGTCTTTATTGTTCTTACCCTGGGCACTACCTGGCCACAAATTATCTGGATGACTTTAAGACATTTTCCTTATTCATAAAATAGGGATAATAACAATCATCCTTTGAAAAGCATATAAGAGTTTCTAGGTTTAGGATAATGATAGTATTATTTTGGGTCCTTGGTTAAGTTGCTACCTTTGTAAGTTTTTCTGGCCTATGAATGCTCTGGAAGCTTTTCTAGGAAACATATTATTTTTGTATATATAAGAAGAGAGCCAGTCTAAAGTGGTGATCAACCTTTGCTGTCATGAAAAGAGTTCACAATCTAAACAGTGAAAGGAAATAAAAATGCATGAGAACTCTGTATGCATTCTTTCAGGGGCTTCCAGCCCAGAGCTAGGTAAGGGGGTGACCATAATTATAGGAGTGCTAACTCATACTGGTACACTTGTAGCACTGAATATTATGAGAAGCAGATAATTGTGTTTTTAAGGATTTCTCTGGGGGAAAATATCATATATAATTTGGAAAACTATTTTGATCACTCCATAGGGAATGGAACTCCCATAGAGCCTGCTGGGTAAGAATATGCATTTGCTACTCGGCCTTTGGAGGTGTCTGGGTGAAGTCATATTTGTGGCTCTGGTTCTGCAGACTTGGAAACACAAATTGGGGCTGAGACCCTTGTGCTCAGAACTGTGTAGGACTGTTTTGCGCCATCAGTCTTTCTTTTGCATCCTTTCCTGCCCAGTGCTTGGCCTCTCCTCTCAATGAATATGGATTGATATTTTAAAATAGTGGTATAAAAGGCTAACATCAGTTTGACACTTGAGAGGCCTTCTCCTCCCTAGGTACTTCTTTGGCTGTCATTCTGATAGGCCCTGCAGAAATAAGATTCTGGTAAGTTTCAAGTCTGTTTCTTTGCATTGATATTTTGGAGAATGAAGGCTTTATGTATGAGCCACTTTTCTCTGACCACTGCTTTACAGCCAGAGGAAGCAGCTTCAATATCACCTCATGGTGACTGCTGATTTTGAGAATTCTCCATTTACCTTGCTTCTGTGGAGGTCCCATCTGACCTCATTCTCTGTCACTGTCTGCCCAGCGTTTTTCGTGAAGTTCGTTAGCAACAATGAAGCTTTTTACAACACAGCATACCTCTCTTTTAAAATAAAATCTATCTATCTATCTATCTTGTATCTCTTCCTCTGTCTATGTAATTATGTTTATTTTCATTCCAGAACTGCATGCTGCTTGGAGGACGAAAGAACACAGATGTTCCCCTGGAAGGATATTTAGTAACACCAATACAAAGGATATGCAAGTATCCTCTGCTTTTGAAGGTAGTTTATTCTTTGTACCTGCATATTTTACTCATGGTCTTTTTAAAGAATTATCTTTTATGGAGTCTAACATCCTTTAAAAAAAAAGGGCAGAGGATAATTATTGGAAAAAAAGTGCTGTTTTGTCACAAATTTATATATGGAGTAGGAAGCAGACCTGTAGTGGAAAAAACACTAAAAGAGGTTTTTAATGCATTTTGTAGAAAATGCACTTATTTTAGTTTAATTTAGAGTGTATGCATTAGTTTCGAAGGAGATTCCACGAAGTCCATTATGTTGCCCTTTAGCTGTGGGGCGCTTTATTGTAAGTATATCCATTACTGGTAAATTTTTTTATTTTCCCAAACTTTGGTGATTTTGTGATGCTAATGAAGTTAAGGTCAAAATTACATAATTTGAGAGCTTGGTTTTTAAATTATTCTTGTAAGGGAATAGTGTGGGTCACATGGGACAATAATGATAGAACATGGAATGACATTGCTAAGAAATACTACCTCTTGAAGGTAAAATTGTGGCCTTATTACACTATCAAATGTTTTTATAATGACAAGCAGAGTTATGGTAGCAATTTTTTAAACTACATTTTTGGAACTATGACATCTGGATAGGCAGTTTGGGATGGTGATTGAGCCTGAATTCAAATTCCAAGTGTTCTGATTACTAACTCTCTTATTGGGATATGTAATCTAAACTCTTAAAGCCTTGGTTTTTATTTATGAAACAGAGATGATGATGATGATGATAAAAAATTATCACATATACCTATGGTAATGTATATACGTATGAAATGTGGTTGAATGCACATTTACATCTTTATAGGTGTGTATATGTGTGTATATTTATAATAAGGATTAATTTAACTATAGTATATAAATCATTTATATAAATTGATTGTTTATATGTACTCCATACATGCTAGTTTTATTGTTCATATCTATTTGATTCAGATTAATTTTAATTTATTTATGATTTAGCACTTAAATTTTTAAAAAGTACTATGAAATTTTATTGACATATTAACTGTTGTTTTTATTAATTTAATTTTTAAGGTATAAATGTTAGGAATTTGAACTAGAAATACACTTTTCCTACAACTTTGTCAAGTATATAAATTGGTTACCAATGTAAAGTTACTTTGAGAAGAATTACTTCTCACTAAAAAGCAAGCCCGAAGTTGCTTGGCTAAGCCATGAGAAGCCATAAAGAGAAGGTAAAGTAGTGGTCTCCAGTTGTGTGACACCTTGGCAGGATGCACTTTTGAGGGTAAGGAGTACTGATGTCAGCATGACTCTTCCTTTCTGAGAATCCCCACAGACTTCCGTGTCAGGGGCTCAGTTTGCATGTGGACTCATAATGCTATTCCTTCCTGAACTGTTTTTGCAGTCCCAGGGGATTTACGTATTCTAAGAGTGGCATAAGCAGAATATGTCACGACAAAGTGCCGCTCTGCATATCACTCACTCCTGGTTATGGATAGTCTTAGATATTTGAACTGACTTCTCAAAAAAATAACATCATGGACACATTTGTGTCCTACAAGAAGGAGATTAGTTCAGAGTTCCTTTAAGGAATAGAGAGATGACATCCTTTTTACTTTGGGGGAAGTAGATCAGATGTTTGTTGTACCAGCAGTTGAAAACATATTCTGGGATTCGGGCTTTATTTATTCAGAGAAAAATGTTGAAGGAATTGAGTTACAATGTTAAGAAAAGATACTCTAGGTCGTACTTGTCAAACTTGAAATTATTGTGTTGACAGGGTTCAGACTGTGTAACTTCCAGAATTTCCTTTTTCCTTCACTATTTCACATGATCTGAATTCAAATCTTTCCTCCTCAGACACCCATTGGGAATTATTGCAGGGGGTCCACATCATGGCCGGCAGGTTGATGTGACCACATTGCACTATTTTAAAAATGCTTTACTCCTTAGAATTTCTGGGGAAGCCAGAATGTGTCTCTATGGATTTGTGTCCACCATATTTTTGTCAGCCTCTTCTTGGGAGTAATGTGATGTGTGTTCTTCTGGTGTTAGCTTTGTAGAAGAGTGTGAATGTATAGAATGCAGTGTCAAAGTTTATGGCAGAATTTTCAATAATAAGAGAACTCAAGAGAGTATAAGAATTACTGGCTTTCCCATTGCATGTTGAGAATTAAGAAAATTCTTTTGAAGTTATGCCTCAGGGTTTCCATAATTGTGTTAGTTCCGTGACGATGGCAACTGTCACAAAGAAACAAATGACTAATTAAAAAGCAATGTGGTCACAACTGTCTAGACAGTGGGTGAAGATGTTTAATTTTGTACTTCTAAACCAAAGCTAGCAAGACCTTTTTAACATGCTGAAAAGATTAAAGATTTCCCTAGTTTTGATATCCTAAACGGAAAAATGTAAATAAAAAGCCCCCCAACTCCCTAAACATCAAAAACAATAAAGAAGTTAATGGGTAGATGGTGCTTCATCAGAGAATGAACCTGAGTAATTGGTGAAAACAGTACAGATTGCTCTTTTCATTCTAGAGTATCACAGCATTTACAAATTACTTATTTTGTTGGAGTATACTACAAATACAAATTTTGCTTCTATTTATGATATATTTTCATAGCTTCTCAAAAATTGTTAGAAATAGGAATTTAAGTTTACTTTTGAAATTATGGCATGTATTTATTTGAGGATTTATCCTGTTAAAGACTCTAAGATAATGAAATTAACATATACCAATGGGCTGCTGTTAGAACCAAAGTCAAATTTACAGAAAAAATTTACACGCTCCAGGTGACATATTTGATGATTTCAAAGAACAAACCTAATTCTATTGTTAAAAACAAAATAAGTTCAAGGGACACATTAAAGTGACTGCAAATGTGCATTGGGGTAGCACTTACTTGTTGATTTGACCTTCTGCTTTTGATCCTCATCTTGGTGGAGTTCGTGATGTCACTTGGGAAAGTGGCTTTCATGAGCTCTGTAGTTTTCATTTCCTGGTCAGTTTGAACCTGCTGTACCAGAAAACAAGATCAAAGGCAATTTGCTTTTTGTGTTTAAACAGGAGCTGCTGAAGCGGACTCCACGGAGGCATGGAGACTATGCAGCGGTGATGGAAGCTCTCCAAGCTATGAAAGCCGTCTGCTCCAACATAAATGAGGCCAAGAGGCAGATGGAGAAGTTGGAAGTTTTAGAGGAATGGCAGTCTCACATTGAAGGCTGGGAGGTACATTCACTTTGCTCAACTAGTTAGCTTTAAATAGTTCTTGCCGTCACATGCTATGAGTGGAATATTTGCACTGGATGGAACCACAAGAGGCCATTTTCTTAGCCATTGCTAAAGGACTTTAATCAGTTCTGAGACATGCTGACTTTCATCATTATTTTCACCTGTTCTAAAGATGGTGCTTAACTAACTTAATCCCAACCTGAGAAGTCTGTGATGGAGCCAGTAGATACAGTGTGCTCTCTAAGCTTTGGTATTTTAGAGTTTGTGCATCATGAATTACTCTTTTTCCTGTCTTAACTGTGGTCAACATGTACATAACCTGAATCCTCAAGAGAAGAAAGAATGAAAGTGAAGTTCAATATTTGTGTTGTGATATTATTTTCAGACTTTAAATCAGTGGTTCAATGTTAAATTTCATTGTAAGTCTATCTGATCTCTCCATTTGATTTCTTCATGTCTGAAATGAAGGGAACTATATGATTTGGTTAAAATACAATATAAATATTTGGTTTAAATAAAGTCTATTTGAGATGAAAGGAAACAAAAGCAAATGAAGAGTGTGGTTCACAAATTATAAGATGTTCTCAGTTATAGTAACTTTAAATCCCAGTTACTTAGAGGGGTTGGAGTCTTATGTTACTTTACTGCTAGAAAAATGAAATTTTGTATTTACATTGTCTTCATTTAAATGAGTATGAACTTTGGACTAGTGCAATTTTTTTTGTGTTATAAAGTAAGCAATTAAAATAATTTAAAAATGTAAACAAAGTTGAAAATATTCCCAAATTCTATATTACATAAATCCAAGTGAATTGCTTTTATCTTTAGGGATTTGTAGTTGACTAATGCGTTTCTTATCTTCAATCTGCTGGTTTTCATTTAGACCTAAAATTATATCCGGCTAGGTATGAAAACATTAATCTGAGGAAATTCTTCTATTTGACCACCCTCTGCTATGAATCTTTTAAAAATGCTAACTGGGTTCCTACTTCGCCTCCTCTTTGTCCATAGTCATCCATTTCAAGTGTCTAGGGTGATCTCCCATTTCAGCATGAGTGCCACCTCTTACATCAGTGAGAATGGTTGTGTGTTTTGCAGTTGATCGATGGTGATAATTCCTTTCCTGAGGAGCAGTTGTCCTGCTGTGATGAGAAGAATGGAATGAAGTTTGCTTTTGCAGTTCTGTTGTCACTCAAACATTGGAAGAAAAACCAAACTCTCTTCAAATTGCTGGATTTGTTAGTGAAATCTGCCAGGCCTTTTACTGAAACAGAAGTTTCAGTAAAACTTTAGAAACTTTTTAGAATTCTAGGGAAATGGATTCTGTCATAATTTTGTTTCCTTTTGGTGTATTTTCTAAAAATTGTCTACTGCATTAGAGAGATTCCTTCAGCACTATTGATATTGCTTGCCCAGTTTGCATCAGCTACTCAAAGGGAGAAGGTATATGGTTTGTGGTATTTCACAGGAAGCTGCGTGCTGATAAAATTGAGGCACCCTCAATTGCTATAGCTTGCATCTTTAATGTTTCCCATAGGTCCATATTGAACAGGCTTGTTTCCCAGCCTATGGTGCTATTGGGAGGTGTTGGTACCTTTAGGAGCTGGGGCCTAGTGAAAGGAAGTTAAGTCATTGAGAGTGTGCCTTTGAATGGACTCTTGGGACTCTGGCTCCTTCCTGCTTCTCTTCTTTACTTCTTGGCTGCTACGAGATGAGCAACTTCCTCTGCCACATGCTCCTACTATGATGTCCTGCACAGTCACAGGTCCAAAGCCACAGGGCCAAGCAACCATGGACTGAAATCTCTGAAAACACGAGCCAAAGTAAACATTTCCTCCTTATAAATTGAATTATCTCAGGTATGTGTTACAGTTACAGAAAGCTGGCTAGCACGCCAGCCTTGGTTTTATGATACTGAGTGTAAGAGAAAAATGAAACATCAAAGCTGAAGAAACTTACGAGTTTAGGGAATTCTGTGGAGTATTAAGGAGATGAAAAAGAACTAAGACTCCTGCAGGACCAGGGCAGGTAATATGAATGGCCAGTTCCACTTGAGTGAATTTATGATCACTAATGTCAGAGACACAGCCATACAGAGAGCTGGGAGTTTTGGGGACTCTGGAGCATGCAGCTTGGAGCAGGGCTTATTCAGCTGTCTGGCAACTTGTCATCAGAGCCCAATTGTCCATCCCAGCCTACTACTATGGAGAAAGGGGAGAGCTATGAGTTCCTTCTAAGGAGTTTAAGAGAAACTACTGGTCTGGTAGGACTCTGTACAGTCACAGAGTCAACAGAGTGAATCTAGGCCCTGAGAGGAAACAGAAATAGGTTAAAGTGGTGCTTTTGAATAGCTAACAGGGATTATTGCTCAGCCTGTGACATAGTTTAGTGTACATGTGGAATGGCTCTTGTGGGATTAGGACAGGTCCTCGTTCAGATGTAGACGACATGACAGTTACAGAAGCCAGAGTTCTTTGCAGAGTTTTTGAGGAGAGAAGCAAAATGTAAGAATATAGCTCCCTGTCAAGCTCCTTCCACAAGCTCCTGCTGACCTTTCAAGACCACCTCAGTGATGATTCCCTTTTGTCAAAAACTAAAATTCTCTTGAGTGGCAGCTAAATCTGACACACTGTGAATGTTCACTGTTTTCATTTTAGGTGGAAATTCTCTCATACAAATTTCTTTTTCCCATTAATCAAACGAAGGTTTTGTTTTTATAACAAATTCTCACAGGTAACATGCCCATCTAGAATTTTGTGCTACCAAATTATCATTTGCATCCTATTTGTAGAATTTAGATAAACAACTGAAATTTACTATCCCCAAACCATCTGACATTGTGAAAAACAGGATAGTTTTAGAGCAGACTTTGTTTTTAGTCTGGACTTCTACCCTTTGCTTGGGAGCAATTTGTCAGACCTCTTATATATAGTGTGCATTATTGCAGGGGTCAAATGAAGTAAATAAGTGCTTTGAATACTGTAAAATACTCTGCAATACGAGGTAGTATCTTTAAACTGCTTCAGCAGTTGAATCTTGTCCTTGAGAAATTCCCTTCATTTGCCCAATATATGCACCCCTCTACTGACAGTGCTGTATTGCTTAAGTTGTGTGGTTCTTTGCAATGGGAGCTAAAAGAAAAAAATAATTTAAACAGGGCTGGGTGGCTCACAGAATCAGTAGAAAAGTTATAGTGTCAGACTTGGAATGGATGTTGAGGCACCCGAACTGTTTGGCAGTCTTATCAGTACTCCACCTATAATGAGCAGGTTCTAATAATTTTTTCTACCCCTATATTATTCTGTTCAAGATTCAAGACCCAAATCCAAGAGTCCACTAATCTCTCTTGATTAATTTTACTTAGGGGAGGGCAGAGATCATTGATGCCAATCATCTACTTTCCTTTTAGGGAAATACATATCCTCCATTGTATACAATCTAACAAGATATCTGAGGCTGTGTACTGTATAAAGAAAAGAGGTTTTTAAGCTCATAGCTCTGGAGTTTCCAGAGCATGTCACAGGCATCTGTTTAGCTTTCACCAGGACCTCAATGGTGGATGACATCAGAATAATGAAAGTACATAAAGAATAGGTTAAGTGATATAGGGCCTGTGGAAGAGGAATTCAGGGTTAGCTGCACACTCCTTCATAACACCCTTTTCTCATGGGAAATAATCCAGACCCAAGAAACCTGCATTAGTATCTTCTGAGGGTAGAGTGGTCTAGTTAACTTTCAATATTTTTTACCTCCTTTTTTGTGTGTATGGGGAGTACTGGAATTTGAACTGAGGGCTTTGCACTTGATGGGCAAGTGTTGTACTACTTGAGCCATGCTTTCAGCCCTTTTCACTCTGCCTATTTTGGAGGTAGGGTCTCACTCTTCCCCAGACTGGCCTGGACCTCGAGATTCCCGCTGGTTGTTGGGATGATGGACATGCACCATCACACCCTGCTTTTTTCTGTTGAGATGGGTTCTTACAAAAGTTTTTGCCAAGGCTGGCCTGGAACTGTGGTCTTTTTAATGTCAGCCTTAGTAACTTAGGAGGACTGGTTGTGTGCCACCACACCCAGCTTATTCTTTACTTCTTAAAGGTTCTACCACCTCAGCACCACCATAGTAGGGACGAAGTCTCCACACATGACCCTCTGGGGTATAAACATTATCCAAACTATAGCAGTTTGATGAGGTTATTACTCCCATTATTCAGACTTAAAAATTAGGATTATCTGACTTAACCTGAATTCTTACAATTAAGAGTTGGCAAAGTTTGGATCTGAAAATTGGCAGCTCAGAGAGAAATGCAGTTGGTTCTTTGATTAAGGTTTTTATTTTTCCTTTCTTTTCTGCTTGCCCATTAACAAGCAGTAAGTTGATTATAGTTAGGATGTTGATAGCATTTGTATAGTAACAGTGGCATAGATCTGTGGTTTGTGTTTAAATTATTCATTTTTGAAGTGATGCCTTTTATCAATATAATTTATTATATCTCAGTTATACATCTTAACTAATATTCACAACACTCCCCAGGGATATTTTACTAAGGTAATTGGTGGCAGTGGTTAGTATACTTTGGTCAGGAAGTTTATTAGTTGTTTAACAAGAGCTGATGATTCATTGCATAGAATAGGAGCATTCTCAGTTTCAGCCTTCTTGATTGATTGATGGTATTATAATAACTGTAACTTTTGGATTCATACAGAAGTATTTTGATAAAGGAATATTACATTGTTTAGTACTCCAGGTTTGTCCTTGATGTGTCTGTTTAGAATTAGTCTCTCAAATCTGGAAAAATATTATAAAGGATGAGGAGGAATTATTAATAATAAAGGTGCTGGAAATGATTAAATTAAGGATAATTATTTTGTTTTAGAAAGAGAAACAGTAGTATTTTGACACTTCTTAGCTGCTTTCTTTTACATGGAGACATACAGTGCTGGAAGATCATTTTAAAATCACCTTTCTGCTTACATTTATTTGATTTGTGTCTGACAGTATACAACTTCAACTCATGTTCTCTTGTTATTTCTTGAGTTTTAGTCTTCTAAATATTGGGAATGAGATGGTTTTTTTGTGTCCTCTGTCTTGGTGGGTATAAAATCATTACTACCTTGAGGTGGAATTGACTTGTAGATTGTCCCTATTATTTTAGTATAAATGATTCCGAAAGGATCACTGAAAATTAACCCTCTTAAACGGAGGAACAAATTTTGATTAAGTGAAAGAGGGAGAGAGTTAGGGATTTTATCTTGGTAAAATGAATATTTATGTTATTATTTCATTTACCTCAAATAAATAGAATGCAGGTTATAATTTCAGCTAAGAATTTGAACCTCAAAAAGAGTGGATCAAGTACTGAAATTTTGTTTTGGGGGTGTACGTTATATATTTTATGACAAAATTGCATGATATAACTATGATTTTCCTCATTTCATAGAATTTTAAAAGATCTCTCTTTATAAATATATTCTAGTGCTTCATAAGTTTTCCCAAGAAACTGCTGTGATATGGAAATGATTCTCCTTTGAAACGCCCATCTCTGTGTCATTCTTGTCAGTTTTCTTCCACTGTAAATGGATCTAGCTCTGTTAAATCTGCCTGGCAATGCATCATATTTGAGTGGAGAATTTTCTAGGCTTCATGTCGTCTTTCATCTTTTCCAAGATTGTAGTTTCTTTCTAGAGTCAGTTTGTGCTTTTCTGATTGACATGCAGCATTTAGTTAGCAAGATAAACAAGTTAGACCCCTGTGTTAAGCAGAAAGAACTGATAATGAGTTTAATTTTTATGATATCAGTGAAGTAACCAATGGCTTCATACTACAATGAGGCCAACATGGGATTTAGAATAGGAGAAAATTTTTAGCACATTTCCTGGCATGTTGTAGAAATGATAAAGCCCAATTTTAATATGAGACTTGATTTCAAATAACTACTTGTACTGTTTGAACTTTATCTGGTAACATATATTACTTTTTAATAAAAACAATTATAATTTTAAGAAGTATAATTGCATACAAAAATTTCATTCAGGGATACAAGTGTGGTTCAAAGGTAGAGCACTTGCCTAGGATTCATTCTGCAGTACAGAAAAAATCTCAATCAAGTAATCAGATAACATCATTTTCTCTTTTCCTGACTCAGGGGTCCAACATTACTGACACTTGCACTGAAATGCTGATGTGTGGAGTCTTGCTGAAAATTTCTTCTGGAAATATTCAAGAACGGGTGTTTTTTCTTTTTGATAATCTGTTGGTATACTGCAAAAGAAAACACAGGTAAGGTCATAAACAGGTCACACTTCAGAAATATTTTTTATCCATCTCACAGATGCCTGTTTTCCTCCGAGCTTCTCAGAACTCATCACCTCACAAGTGAACTGCTTCATATCTGTTCTGGCTTCCCTCTTTGCCTGCTTGTTAGCCCTTACTGAAAGGTCACTATCATCTCATGAGTCACATACCTGCATAGCCTGTAGAAGAGGTTGTTGTGTTTTCTCCATTTCCTGATTCTCCTTGAACCATTTCCTTCTTTTTCTTTGAGAATCTTGGCACATGTGTAGTTCAGGCCATCAGTCTTCCTGTCTACTGACTTCTCTGTTGACTCGCTTGTTCAGAATGCTATCTATCTCCCTGGTGCACAAATTCATTGGTTCCTTGAGCTCTTGGGTCACTTTCTATCTTATTCTTATTGTTTGGGGGTTGTTCAAAATTCACGTAGATGATCGATCTAGAATTCTGGACCCTAAAGCCCCCAGTCTTTTCCCTTCCATTATATCTGAGCCACAGTCATACCAGTAGCTTGTTACCATTAGCAGCTATGAAATTGAAATGTCCATTTCAAACATCCCAACCTGAATATCATCCCTCATCCGCCTAGCTCTCCTCCTCTCATATGCCCAATTACATTATTCTTTGACTTACTGATCCTGTAGCACCAAACATCGTCCAATACCTTCAATCACAAGAAAAAGAGATGTAGCTTACTTTAAGTCATAGTCTGTCCCATCTCTCTTCTCTCTTTCACAGCAGACTTTTTTTTTTTGAGAATTTTATTGTATCACTTTTTCCATTTCCCCACTTCTCGTTCTCCCCATAATACATTCAGTGAGACTTTAGTCCTATTTTGCTCCACTATGCTGCTGAGGTCAAAAGAACGACTGTCTTTCCTATTCTGTTGGTCACATTTCTACTCTTTAAGGTTTTACTTGTTTTGTTAGCAACATTTAACTTAGTTGAGTATTCTAAAGACACTAACTGTATCTGGGGCACATTAGCTGCTGTAGATAGGGCACATGCATCTGAAAGGTAAAGCAGGTGGTTGAAAATGCAGGATTTTAAGTGACTCTATATGGCCAAGTTGAGAAGTCAGGAAACTAGCCAAACATCTTCTGGTAGAATGCTGATAATAGATACAAAGCTGATTTATAAAGTAGAATTAAGGGAGCATCATTCTTTATCTCTTGGAAAGGATTTTCCTAAGTTAGTGAAAATTTGGCAACTGTGTTGATGTTTGGCTGCTATGTGGATTGTAGTATTAGAATTCTTTCACTGGAGATAGTAAAAAGTTCAATAACAGTGGTAAAAAGGAATAAGTTAGGAATAGAGCCGAAAGAAAATTAGGTTGTTGGCATCTCTATCTTAATGAGATTTTAAAAAATTCCTGTTTTCTTTTTCTTTTTCTTTTCTTTCCTTTTTTTTTTTTTGAGATAAAGTCTTGCTATGGTCTCAGCTCCTGGGCTCCAGGAAAGTACAAATAGGAGGACATTGCAGTCCAGGCTGGCCTGGGCATAAATTGGTATCCTACCTCAAAAATAGTCAACACAAAAAGTGTTAGCAGAGTGGCTCATTGGTAGAATGCCTGCCTAGCAGGCATTAGGCCCTGAGTTATAATGTAAAAGCAAGGTGTTTGGATGGAATTGTTAAAAGTGTCCATTTGAGAACGGGATCTTTTTATCATTAAATTCATCTTATCCTAATTATATATATGCCTGACATCAAACTAGATTATATATTATAATTATATATTATAATATATATATAATTATATATATGCCTGACATCAAAATTAACATCACTGTACAAATAATGATATGGTTTTAAGACTATAATTGTTAAGTAAGTAAAACAGCAGAAAAAAATTTACTAAATTAGAATCTTGCTGTGTAGAAAATAATGAATGTATGACATGAACCACATAGTGGTTAGAAGTGGAAATGACTAAAGAGTTTGATGTGTTCACTTCCTCCCAGAATTGGAGAAGCCCTCTTTTCCCTTTATTTAGAATATGCCCCATCTCCTTTACTAATGTCAGCTTAACTTAGATTTTTAAGATCTAGACAACCTTTGGAAAGTATGAGTGAACAGCTTCTCCCAAATTCCCATAATTACAAGAGCCAGGGGCCTGATTGACTTACTTAATTCTAGAGTTATAATCTTTCAAGAGTGGGCTGCTAGATTAGACATCCCATCTGTGGATCTTTTGATGTTTTTTAGGAGAGACTAGTTTTAAAATAATACGATGATAGCGTATTTCGGATTTTGCAATTTATACTTTACGTATGGTAGTTTCTAAAACATATACCCATTTTGTAGATAGCAATAATTTATTCATCATAACTGCTGCATAATGTCTCATTGGTTTAATAATCACATCCATTTAGTCACAATTTAACTGTTCCTTCTCCGATCATTGGCGTTTAGGGCTTGTTTCCAGGTTTTCTGCTGTTGTACATATATCCTGGTAATCATAAAACACATGATTAGGAGTGAAATGAAAGAATAAAGATATCTAAATATGCTGTATTATCATTTAGAGCTAAATTATTTGGAGACCATAAGTTTCTTAATCTTTATACTTCAATAGAGTCATTTTCTTAAGAATCCAAGATCTCTCAATTTAAACCAAGTATTATAGTATTGATCAGACACTTGTTAGTATTTCATATTGGGCATCAGTATCTATATGTCAAGATAAATATAAAGAGCCTTATAAAGTGCAAAGCAGGATAACAGAGAAAATTAATACTTTGGAAAAAAGGACCCAATGGTGGATTGTTATTATTCTTCTACCTGTTGTCAAGGATCTTGAGCCTTTTACACATGACTGAATCATCTAAGAATGATTTATAAACTTAAGAATAAGATATCAACTATCAAGAAATTCTTTTTTGAAACTTACCATGATAGTATTTGGTATCTGGTACCAAATATATAATTATATATAAGTGTCTGGTAAAATATATAATTACCTGCATATTAATCTACTTAACACAAATGTACAAATGATGAGATGTGGCTTTAGGACTGTAATTATCAAATAAGAAACAGGGAAAGTTTTGCAAAATTTAAATCCTGCTATTTAGCAAATACCTTATTCAATGTATAACATGAACCAAGTACATTTAGACATCTGAACTTCTGTGATGTCAATTTTCATAGCTACCTGACCTGAATTCCTGATTTATAGCAGTTAAATGTTTAGAGATTGCTATCGACATGAACATGGGAAATGCATAATGAAGAAGATTGGGGGCTGACAGAGTTTCTAGTTGGGTTAATTAATCAGTTAGGTTTCTTTCTTTCTTTTTTTTCTGGCAGTACTGGGGTCAGTACCTGCTAGGCTGATTTTCTATCACTAAAGCTACATCTCCTGCCTTTTTGGCTCTGGTTATTTTAGAGATAAATTCTTACTTTCTGCTCAGGCATGCCTGGACATGATCCTCTATGTATGCTTCCTGCCATAGCAGAGATGACAGGTGCGTGTCACTATGCTTTTTTTCTGTTGAGATGGGAACTCATGAACAGTTGTTTGTTTATTTGTTTTTTGCCTGAGCTGGCTTGGAACCATGATCCAAGAGAGACTGGAAATCTCAGCCTTTCAAGTAGCTAAGATTACAGGTATGAGCCACTGTTGCTGACTAGTTTATTTTCTTTAGTTGTGACAAAATGAGGGATTAAGACAGAAGCTAGGCATGTGTAGTGCTTTCTAAGGAAGGAAGCCTGGGATGGTGTCAGCATCTCAAGACACCTTTCTGTGTCCACCTTTCTACTTTGGGACAGGAATTTAACTGTAAATGAGAGGGGGGGAGACATTGCAGGTGGTGGTCAGGTGCATCTTAATTTGTGTTAGATGTGTCTGTGTAAAATGGTAGATTAATCATTAAATTGTTAGCCAGATTTTGTCAGTGAGTAAAGTTGAAGAGTCTAGGTCAGACATTTTTTACTGCCCTTGAATCATTTTGAGACTCTGTCCTGTTCAATAATTCTAATTCATGTAGCCACTTAATTCATGTTTATAAATGTTCATCTGTAAACCTGGAGGTTTTACTTTGTTACATACTTTCTAAAATTAAAGGCTAACAACAGACACAGTATACATAAAGTTTTAAAGCATTTTGATTATTTTAAAAATAAGCAAAACTTTTAGGCAGTATTTTGCATGTATGAAGAGGCTCGTCCAACAAGTATACAGTGATCGTATCATAAAAACTATATAGGAAAAATATTTTTACAGCTGGAAATCACTTAGCTTAAGAACTTCCAGCATAGTTTCTCTGAAGACAGATCAGAACTAATTGAGTTTGTTTACCAGGGCTTAAAAAAATGGGAATCACCAGCTACTTCAAAGTGAGAAGATACAAAATTAAAATAACCAATCTCTAGTGTCAGTTAGTTTGTTTGGCATTGGAGATGTCCTGTGCAGAAGAACAGTACGTGCCTCTCTCCCACCTGTCCATGGTCTTCAGCCCAAGCTTCAGTTGATTTGGAAAACCAGTGTGTCAATACGCCTGTAAAGCAGCTGGTATTGTAACAAATGGGAGGACGCAAGAAAATCACCAAGCATCAGATACTTCTGATAATGTTCAATGAGTTCGTGCTGTTTTCTTAAAAGATGTTACTTTACCATTGTTTTGCCTTAAGTTTAGTAACAAATCTTTGTGGTTTCCTTCATTTTAAGACGGTTGAAGAATAGCAAAGCCTCCACAGATGGACACCGGTACCTTTTTCGTGGCAGGATCAATACTGAGGTGATGGAGGTGGAGAATGTGGACAATGGAACAGGTGAGTGATCAGTGAGGCAAATGCCCGTAATAAACGCCCTCATAATCCAGAGTCCTCATCTGAATAATTTACCTGCAGAGCACTACAGCTGACAAGCAGTATGTTACAGCAGTAAGGCAGAGGGAGGAGAAAGGTGAGACGAAGGAGTGTGGGATTTGAGAAAGTGGAAAATAATGTTTGGCCGAAACACACCTAGCATTAAACAAATGAAAAAGCCCCAGAGAGATGGCTAAGCTGTGTTCTACCTGAGAATGCCCATGTTGTTTTTATCTCGCACACATTCACAATTCCTGGTACACCAGTACTTGTGAGTGAATATACAGTGAGAGATTTGATTGTTTAAGTTATCCTATGTCTTACAAGTATAGGTATGACATTTTATTCCTATACTATATTCACCACAGAATAGAACAAACTAGATTTTTTTTAAAGCTGTACAATTGTTATTCATATAGATAGGCTGTCAGTTTGCTTGTGGAAGAAAATTGTGAGTGGAGGTGATTTGTGTAATTTTAAGTGTTCAAGTACTCTCTTACTCAAAGGCAGTAAATTTCTGCTTTGAAAGTTTTTACAAAGTTCCTTAGGCTGGCCCAGAACTCACTATATAGATTAGATTGACCTTAAGCTACTGTTTTCCTGACTCTGCCTCCTGAGTGCTAAGATTACACGTGTGCACTACCATGGCTGGCTGGATTACTTGTTCTTCTGTTGTTAAATTTTTTGAATTATTTGCATATTCTGGATATTAGTCCTCTGTCTGATGAATAACTGGCAAAGATTTTCTGCCACTCTGCTGGTGTCTCTTTGCTCTGTTGGTTGCTTCCCTTGTTGTACAGAAGCCTTTTGATGGAGTCCCATATGTAAATTATTTCTTTTAATTTCAAAGCTATTGTAGTCCTAATCAGGTAATCATTGCCTGTACCAATGTGTTGAAAGTGTTTTCCTCTAGTAGTTTCAGGTCTTGCTTTAGGGTGTTTGATCATTTTGAATTTGGTTTTTGTACAGGGTGAGAAGTAGGGATCTACTTTCAATCTTCTTTGTGGAGTTCCAGTTTTCCCAGCAGCATTAATGGAAAAGGCAGTCTTTTTTCCAAAGTATGTTTTTGGTACTGTTGTCAAGAATCACATGGATATGGATGAGTTGTTTTACTTATGGGTTCCTCTATTCTATTCCATTTGTTGACATGTCTATTTCTATGCCAGTCCCATACTGTCTTTGCTACGATGTCTCTGCTGTATGTTTTAAAATCAGGTAATGTTATGTGTCCAGCACTTCTCTTTTTTCTCAAGATTACTTTGACTATTAGGACCTTTTGTAGTTCCTTATGAATTTTTCAATTACTTTTTCGAGTTCTGTGAGGAAGTAGAAGGTTATCTGTAGATAACCTTCTCTAGTGCAGCCATTTTAATAATATTAATTCTCCCTATCTATGAACATGGGAGGTCTTTCTTTCTTCAAGTGTCCTCAATTTCTTTCTTCAGTGTTTAATAATTAATTTTCATTGTAAAAGTTTTCACTTCCTCCATAAGGATTATTTTATTTTTATTTTTGGTGGTACTGGAGTTTAACTTAGGGCCTCACTCGTCTCACTCTTGTTAAGACAGGCACTCTACCACCTGAGCCATTCTCCCACTCCTTTTATACTGTAGCTATATTTTGGGTAGGGTCTCATGTTTTTTGCCTAGGTCTGGCCTTGGACTGTGATCCTCTTACCTATGCCTCTCCTGTAGTTGGGATTACAGGCATGTGCTACCCCACCCACCTGGTTAGGTTTATTAGTAGGGTTTTCTCTTTCTTTCTCTCTCTTTCTTTTATATTGTGAATAGGATTGTTTTCCTGATTTCTTTCTCAGAGAGGCAATATTGATGTATAGAAAATGTATTAATTTTTGTATTTTGATTTTGTATAATGCTACTTTGATGAATTCATCAGGATTCTTTAGTGTTTTCTAACTATATAAAATCTCATTGTCTGCACATAGTGATAATTCAAAAATTATGTGCTCTTGGTTCCATTTTGGTAAGTGATATGTGAGTAGAAATTTGTCCACTTCTTCTAGATTTTCCATTTTACCAACATACAATTTTTTAAAGTTTTCCCTTGTGGGAAAAATTTCTCTAATATTCCTATGGTTTTCAGTGGTATGTTCCCATTTTTTTCACCTCTAATTTTAATTATTTGGGTCTTCTTTCTCTTTCTTTTTTTTTTATTCTTTTACCTTGTACCCCTGCATCTTTGTCCACACCAATTATTCATAGGTTTCATCTTTTAATCATGTCTCATAGGTCATACCAGATGTCCAAGGCAGGACATATATTCTGATTATAATTTGTAACACTTCTCTTCATTACTGTCTGAATATGATAATTCATCAACACCTGATGTTCTTTGCTCTGCATGATCTAGTCAATGGGTGATGCTTTCAAATGAGATTTTTATTTGGCTTATTGGGCTTTTCATTTTCAAGATTTCTGTTTGATTCTTTTTCAGAATCTTTATCTCTTTATTGAATTGTTACTTTATATCCTGTATTGTTTTCCTTAATTCATTTGCTTGTTTAAGTGTATTCTCTTTGAATTCATTGGTCATTTAAAAAATTAGACTTTTGATTTCTTTGCCCAGAATTTTGTTTACTTTGGTTTCTTCGGATACAGTTACTATGGACTTTGGAAGAGTTCACTTGCCTTGTTTTTTCATATGTTTTGTGTGTCTCTACATTGAGATTTGCCTGTCTGCTAAGATAGATGTCTCTTGCACTTGCATGTGAGTCTCTTTTGTGAGAAGCCTATTGTTGAGGGCTTTTTCTCTACCTCTGCTCAGAAAGGAGAGAACAAACTATAGGAGAACACAAAACAATCAAAAGAGCCACTATACCACTAAAAACAATGGAAAAGATAAGAGCAAAAATAATAATTATAAACTAAAAAGTTAAAAGTTAAGGGAAACATAATAGTAATAATATAATTTTAAAAAGTGAGGTAAGGAAAGGGAAAAGAGAAAGAAGTGGAGTGGGGAGAAAATGAGAAAGAGGAAAACAGCAATAGATAAACAAAGTCCAATTAAAGAATAATAAAAGTGGAGGAAAAGATGGCAGATTACAGACAGGCATACACACACATACACACACACGCATGCATGCATACACACCACATTCCTGTGTGTCCATGAATCAAAACTAAAATCTTGAGTACATGGTATAAGAGGATAGATGGGCAAGTTAGTAAGTTAGGTCAAGACACCAGTAAAAGAGTAGACAGCTAGTGACTGGAGAAAATAAAGAAAATATAGAACTTTAGATCTATAAAAGAAACAAAGAGAAAACGTTGCTTGGAAGAGCCCAGAACTGCCTCTTGGAAATGGGACTGGATCTGTTCTACCTCTCAACCATGCTATCCTGGTTTCTTTTTTCTTTCTATATTTGTTTTGATTTACTTCTGGTAAATGTCACCTGCTTGTGTCACCCTGTGATCAAAATAACTGTATCGAGAGCTAAACACAAATCAGCAAGCCTTTCCCTGGTCACTGGTCAGAGGCTGACAAGCAACTTTGTCCTTCTGTTCCAGGAAAAAGGAGTGAGCAAGCTGGTTGGACTACACTCTAATCTTCTACACCCCTAAATGTACTGCTCCACTCAGTGTGTATAAGTGACTACAGCTACCCATCAGAGACAGGGGCTTCTACACCTGGTTCTGGTCTGGAGGGCAGTTGAAGTCACTCAGTGACTGGGTCTCACACTTTAAACAAAGGGTGGGTGGGTGACCTAAGAAGGCAGTCACTGGAAAGAGAAAGTCAGCTGGCTACTACCCTAAACCCATTGTCCAACCTAGCAGGCATATGTATACATACAAGTTACAGAAACTACTCACACATCATTTTGTAAATGAAACATTATACTGGGGACCTAGGTGGAAAAGGGAAAAATCTCACTGTAGACAATATGACCTTTGAGAGTGGCAGAGTGCTCCCTCACCTACTAGCTGTGCTCATAGACCCCTCACCCATGCCCAAGTACTACCTCACAGGTCTGGAACTTCCCCAACAAGCACCATCAGAGCAGCTAGGAATTTCTATTTCTCCACAGGACCTGCCCTGCCTGACTCTAGCAGCTGCCACTTGTCCAAAGCCTAAACTTACCATGAAACACCACACACAGGCTGCACCCCAAGGGAATTCTAGGAAGTCTGGGGCCCAGATGAGATTCATGAGTAAACATAGTGGGGAACAACAGACAGAAAGTAGAGGACCACAGACTGGAGGGGAACATCCACTGTACTGATGGAGCCTAACAGGCACACACTCTTCTCTTCAACAAAGATAAAAAACTGATTTTTATTTTTTCTATTTTTCTTTTACAGAGTTTTCCATTGGTTAATTCTACCTCATTTTTAAATTATTAAGTTTTCTATCCCTTTGCAATTCCTGAATATAATATCTTTCACAATAATTTAACTAGATTCCTGCATACTACTAGTTTATCTTCAGCCCACACACTTCACCCCCCTGCTCCCCATTTTCCTTTTTCCTTATTTTACCTCCATTATTTTTACTACTTAATTTTAACTCCCACACAAATATTTTTTCCTAACCCCCACCATAAAATATAAGAATGCCATTGTCTTTCATATATAACACGATTGGTGATATAGATGACGTCACCAATGGTTTTTGACTTCATGTAATTATTTGGTTTGGTATTGAATTGGGGAATTTGTTGTTATTCCCCCAGACCAGTGATGAGAAAGAACACATTAACCCTACTACTGCTCAGTCCTGACAGAACATAAAGAAAGACTTTAGGTAATTAAAAACTTCCAATCAACAACTTGACTTCAGATGAGCAACATTCAAAGCAGAAACACAAGAAAAATGAAAAGGCAAAGCAGCATGACCCTGCAAAATGTTAACAATCACACAACAAAAGATCTGAATGATGAAATTGGATGAAATCTCAAATATTGAATTAAAAAAAATGTTGATAAAAATGATCAAGGAGATAAAAG